CGAGAGCTGTCATTCGGGTTTATACAACGCTTACATGTTACTGTCAGGAAAGTTTAAGTCTTGTTTGTATTTGCACAATATGAAAGAGGAGTTTATTGTCAGAATGTACTAGTATATGGGTGGTTGTATGCATATTGAACTATACACAATTTGAATTATGTCACCAAACTGTACGTTTTGACAACTCGTATGAAATTGTAAGATTATATTTCTGATATACTCGAATCTCTGCACTGTGCTTTTTATAAATGTTATGGTTTGGTTAATAATTTCCTGGAAACTGTGCAGAAAATCACAGACTTTCATTATTTTTTGTTCATAGTTTTTTCTAAATTTCAGTTTGTATTGTTCATAATTATTTACAGTAATAACACTTTTTTTCTGTTGTGAAATCATTTCCAGTTATTATGATTGTGTAAATGACAGCTTTGTCCCACACAATAAGACATGTATGGATATGTGCAAGTATGTTCCATTGGGTTAATAGGCCACTTCTTTATATCCCACAATGTCTGGTAATTCTAACTAACTACTATTTCGCAAAATTTTCGTAGCCTTGTTTCTACTCCCATATTGTCCTTAATAGTGAAGGTTAATGCAGATATATGTAAATTGCACAGAGGTAACACTACAATACATTTCCCTTTACATTCCCTGGTAATACACAACAGCCTTTGTGCTGAGGCGGTTATGGTTCACAGCCATCACCAGTTCTCTTGTATACTAGTATGTTTGTTGTTAAATATGCACAACATGGACGCAGGAAATTATGACCCTGATTCTCAATAATGGAGATTTCGAAGGTAACAAGAAGACACTTCTACAAATTCTGTCACCATTTATGGAATTCTACGTAAAAAATAATTTTATGTGAGTAGTGATTGTCATATATATATATATATATATATATATATATATATATATATATATATAAATATATAACATATTTACGATTAATGTTGGGAGATGGGTCCATAGCGTTGTATTACTAATTTTATGCAAATTCCACATATGTTGCGCAAAAATTGCGTCATTATATGAATGCGTGTTTGTGGCCGTGCACGGACATAAATTAAGAACGAGACAAAAATTAATGAATTTATTTGAACCCTTATGATCATGATCGCTTCTGTTGAAGTTTTAATTATTTAGTGAATTGATATGCAAAATTAACCGTCAACATCGGATAAGTCTATCTGCCATGTGCTACATTTGTAGCGTTCACGCACAGCTCCCAGACACGAGATAAGAGGTCAAATACCTTAGCCCGTGCACAGTCCCTCTATCCCTGTGGCCCGTGCTAGGAAAACGTGCAAAGGGCAAAGAGTTGCTATGTACACATACAATCTGTACCGTTTTGAAAACCCGGTCCAGATCATAGCACGGGCTAACGAAGTGTGCGTGAACGCTTACCTCGGACTAAACGCCTCAAACGCCATGATCGTATTCAATTTGGAATATTTTATATTATATTCATTTCTGCTTGCCATTTCCGACATGACAATCAAAGCGAACACACATAGATTGTTCTCGGAAAAAATGAACTGATGATGAGACTCTGTTCTACTTCTTGTTATTCTGCAATCTACACTTTCTGAATTTGCTTTGGTATTATTTTATAACCGTAAAACTAAAATGTATATCTTCCTAGTTACTGTACTAGTAATCATAGTTAAAATGACTGAATGTCTTTGTAAATTCTCAGCAAGTTTGCGCATTCCTTGGCCCTTGCTTACCACAGTTTCCTCCCGTGTGTGAACGCATTTGAGTATATAAGATATGCAAACACATGGAATTAGCTAAAATCTTAGCCCGTACTTCGAGTAGCGTGAACACTACTAATAGACTGTCAATATCGAATCAGTCAAAATACGTTGTTGGTCATTTATCCGGGAGATTCAGATTTATTTAAATATTTACTTTTTTCACAGCATGAAATCAATTTCCTTTCTATATTCGTACACAATTGGTTTATTGATTCCAAAGTCGTGGGAAAAGTACATTCCAATACCCCCTTATGCAATGCTTCAACTAGCGGATGGATTGTCGCATATAATACAAATGCCGTCTCCAATACTCATAAAGTCACACTTGCAGGTAAAGTTTTTCCCGCCTCAAGCGTTGAAAAATAATAAGGTTTGTAACAGTGTTGTTAAGTGTGTGTGTACATTTAGTTTGTATGTTGTAATATTTTCCAGAATAGATAAATCATGATCAATTTGTTTGCATCTCACCGCTAGGTGTCACCCTCGCACTCAAGTTTCAGAAATAATTGCATGGTGAAATTTAGTCGGTGAAATTCGCTAAAAAATCTCTCTCACGGTAAAAGTTTTTTGACATGATCAGTGTCGTAGATTTTCAAAACTCAGGTGTTTGTGAACATAGGCACTGTATTCAAGATAGGCTTTATTGGTCGCAGCAAAGCGCCTGTTCATATTTTATGTAAATAAGCAATCCATTTCACACGCGTTGTGTACGTCTCTATGAGTCCCATATCGAACAGGACGCGGCGTGACGACCACCGCATGTCAAAAGAGCCGACGCTCATAAACAAAGCCTTGCAATAAAAGTTGCAAGTCAAGATTGTTAATAATGACCAAACTTATAGTTCACAATGCTGTACGTTTCAGTTATTAGTTATCAGTCATTAACAGTCAATTTAACTTATTACAATCACTAGTAGTCAATATAATGACTAGTAACGGACAATGCAAGATATAACAATTACTAGTAATGGCCAATGTAACATATTACAGTTACTAGTGACGGTAATGCAACACATTGAAATTACTAGTAATATTGCAAATGACGATCAATACAATGTATTACAATTATTAGGCAATACAACTTATTTCAATCACTAGTAACGGTCAATTTATCTTGTTGCAATTACTACTAACAATGTAGCATATTACAATTTCTACAGTAACTGGTAATGCAACATATAACATTCACTAGTAACGTCTAGTAAATTTTAACAATCATTTAACCTTACTACTATTGAGTTTACGTTATATAAGTGGTATTTATTAGTCTTATAACAGTTGCATGTTTTTTTTCAAACAGATAGTCTACGTTGCAAGAAATCCCAAAGACACGTGTGTTTCCTTCTACCATTTCTACCGAAGTACGGCACAACAGGGATTTTAGAAAGGTCCTTGGGCACAATTTTTACAGATGTTTATAAATGGGCAAGGTAAACTATTTTAAACTGCTACATATTCATAAGCAGACTGTAAACTGCCACAGTTGTATTCATATGTAGGTTGTAAACTGTTACCGATGTATTCATATGCTGACTGTACACTGATGCAGTTGTATTCATATTCAGATTATAAATTGACACAGTTGTATACATATGCAGATTGTAAACTGCTGCAGTTGTATTCATATGCAGATTGTAAACTGATGCAGTTGTATTCATATCAAAATAAAAACTTCACTATTTTTGCAACTTTTAATCGGGGGATTTATAGATAGTATATTTAAGGTATAGTGAAAGGGCTTTTGCATTACCTCACATTTAATGGACACAATAATGACCAAACGTATAGTTCACAAAGCTGCACGTTTCAGTTATTAGTTACCAGTCATTAGCGTATGTAATATATTACAGTTACTAGTGACGGTAATGCAACACATTGAAATTGCTAGTAATATTGTAAATGACGATCAATGCAATGTATTGAAATTATTAGGCAATACAACTTATTTCAATTACTAGTAACATTGCAACATATTACAATTTCTACAGTAAAAACAGTACATTTTTTTAACAATCATTTAACCTTACTACTATTGAGTTTACGTTATATAAGTGGTATTTATTAGACTCATAACAGTTGCATGTTTTTTTCAAACAGATAGTCTACGTTGCAAGAAATCCCAAAGACACGTGTGTTTCCTTCTACCATTTCTACCGAAGTACGGCACAACATGGATTTTAGAAAGGTCCTTGGGCACAATTTTTACGGATGTTCATAAATGGGCAAGGTAAACTATTTTAAATTGCTACAGATGCAGATTGTAAACTGCCACAGCTGTATTCATATACAGATTACAAACTGCTACAGCTGTATTCATATGCAGACTGTAAACTGCTGCAGCTGTATTCATATGCAGACTGTAAACTGCTGCAGCTGTATTCATATGCAGACTGTAAACTGCTATAGTTGTATTCATATGCAGACTGTAAACCGCTACAGATGTATTCATATGCAGATTGTAAACTGCTACAGATTTATTCATATGCAGACTGTAAACTGCTACAGTTGTATTCATATGCAGATTGTAAACAGCCACAGTTAAATTCATATGCAGATTGTAAACTACTACAGATGTATTCATATTCAAATTGTAAGCTGCTACAGATGTATTTATATGCAGATTGCAAACTGCTAATATATATTCATATGCAGATTGTAAACTGCTACAGTTGTATTCATATGCAGATTGTAAACTGCTACAGTTGTATTCATATGCAGATTGTAAACTGCTACAGTTGTATTCATATGCAGATTGTAAACTGCTACAGCTGTATTCATATGCAGACCGTAAACTGCTACAGCTGTATTCATATGTAGATTGTAAACTACTACAGCTGTATTCATATGTAGAATGTAAACTACTACAGCTGTATTCATATGCATATTGTAAACTGCTACAGCTGTATTCATATGTAGATTGTAAACTACTACAGCTGTATTCATATGCAGACTGTAAACTGCTACAGTTGTATTCATATGTAGATTGTAAACTGCCACAGCCGTATTCATATGTAGATTGTAAACGGCTACAGTTGTATTCATATGCAGATTGTAAACTACTATAGATGTATTTATATTCAGATTGTAAACTGCTATAGCTGTATTCATATGCAAAATCGAAACTGCTACAGATGTATTCATATTCAAATTGAATTGTAAACTGCTACAGCTGTATTCATATGTAGATTGTAAACTGCTACAGTTGTATTCATATGCAGACTGTAAACTGCTGCAGCTGTATTCATGTGCAGACTGGAAACTGCTACAGTTGTATTCATATTCAAATTGTAAACTACAACAGTTGCATTCATATGCAGACTTTAAACTGCTGCAGTTGTTTTCATATGTAGACTGCAAACTGCTACAGTTGAATACATACTTAGCATGTAATACCTCATGTGAGCTGTAAATCCATTATCTCGCATGTCGTGGTTTGTCTTTTTCTTGTCATATTATATTATTTCATGGTAATACGTATTATCACATTTTCAGTTGCATTTGGTGATTATTTTGATCACGTGATTGGATGGTGGAATGAAAAAGACAGAAATAATGTGTTGTACTTATTCTATGAAGACATGAAAAAAGTGAGTAGTTTTGTGTTATTATGCAGCTATTTTGAATTATTACGGCCATTTTTGATTCATCAAATGAACAATTTTATCATACTTCGTCAAAGCATTTTGCATTACAACAGAAATAGTGATTCTGAAATAATTTCAGTTTGATACATTTTAACATGGAGGGTCTTTCTGTAGTTTGTATCATTCTAGGTGTATCGTTCGTATGACGGCCAATACAATGCAACAAAAAGTGTTTCATTTTCTGTTTGTGGTTGTCGCCCTCTACAGGGGAATCTCAATCTGAAGGCAGCGCGTGCAACTTTACGTCAGTTATAATATGTACTACATAGATACTGTCCTATTGGTCAGTCACAATATTTGATCGACTATATTAGGAACCGTTGATCATCAAAACTGGAAAAAAATTAAAGTGCAAAATTTTGAAAAGTACAAGTTCAGTTTCCATTTGTACATGTACAATATTTTACGTTCACATTTGTCCGTTTCTAGTTCCACCAGTGTTTGAGTGACACACTTAATATGAAATAAATTCGTATCCCCTCTCTCCCAAATCGAACAACTTACGTTTCCCAAGCGCCAGATGAAATAACCCTTAATACCAGCGTGCGCATGGAAATGCTAGATTGTGATATCGTCCACTGAATGAATGTAGCTAAACAGAATCTGATTAAAATAATGGTTTTACCACATTTTTATAGATATATTTAAATATGTGCTTATTTTACTGTACTGTACGATTCATCCTATTAACATTTCACCATGTTTGATTGCACATAGGATCCCCATGATGCAGTGCGTAAGATGGCTGCCTTTGTTGAAAGGCCGATTTCTGAAGAATTAGTAGATGCTATAGTACGCCATACGTCAGTTAAAAATATGCAAACTAACAGTGCAACTAATGCGGATGTTAACAGGGCGTTTTTGGACTCTAAAATAAGTCCATTTATTAGAAAAGGTAAATAAAACTGATTTACTCATTCACCTCATTGATGAGGTCGAAGGAAATGAGCATATAAATTTGTTGTTGCATTCTGGGTATGTTTTCTAATCGAATATTGCAATAGTGTCAATATATCTTCCATCATTTTTTGTCATGATTCATTTATTCCAGGAGTCATACATCAGTTAAGAATATGCAAACTAACAGTGCAACTAATTTTGATGTTTGCAGGCCGTTTTTAGACTCTAAAATAAGTCCATTTATTAGAAAAGGTGAACAAAACTTATTTACTCATTTTTACAACACCTCAATGACAAGATCAGGAGAAATTGGCATGTCAATTTGTTGCATTCTGGGTATGTTTTCTAATCGAATATTGGAATAAAGACAATATATCTTCCATCAATTTTTATCATGATTCATTTATTCCAGGAGTCGTTGGTGATTGGGAGAATTACTTCACTGTTGCTCAAAATGATGAGTTTGATAGAATATACGAAAATAGGATGAAAGACACTGATTTGAAGATTGAATGGTGATGACTTTGCATAGTGATGGGACTGACCTCCGAATACTGATGATATTTAACTTTTCGATTGTTATGGCATTTAATTTATGAGTTTGCTTTTTATTTCGTGACAGTATCCAACAATTTGTGATTTAATTTTCAATCCGCAAGCAAGCATGCTTTTAATTTCAGTTTATTTAGATTTGTATGACGGGCTTTGCTTTTAATTTGTAAATTTGTAAATTTCATGACATTTGCTCAGATATGTCTTATTCATGTTGCTTACAATTATTCATTTCGATATAATACATAGAGAGTTACGTGTTAGTGTTAACTGTTTCAGAATACTCGATCAATTGATGGCACACACAGTAGTCAGTGAATACACTTCACTCGTATACAGCACTTTCCATCTGCTTCGTCAACAAACAACACAATACAGCACCTCACCTGCACTGTACAATCAGCCCTAATCCACTCACACACTCAGTACGCCCACCAGGTGCGCATAGTCCACGCGCTAACCGCTCGCCCACGTAGTCCACCACAGCGATGCTTCCCCGCCAAAGCACTCTACTCCAGAGGCCAAATCTAACAATGTTCGTCCTGTTGCACCGCATGGGAAGGGGTTTGATGATTTCATGTCATGGCCATTTTGGTCAGCGACAAAAAAAGCTATGCTGTAAAGGTGCACCCTTGATAGAATTGTAATAATCTGTAGTGAAAAATTCAAAAATAGATGTTTTTAGTCCTACACATTGCTAATGATCACACATGTTCAACCCTCTGAATGCCAATGTATTTTTTACCAAAAGCTAGAAGTAAATTCAGTGAAAATTACAGAAACTGAACAATTTTACTCAAATTTGAATGAACAAATTAGCATTCAAAGGGTTAGCGAAACACATTTTACACATATGAATTATACAATGCCTGACAGTCTAATTATAATTTGATTGTAAATGATATCACATTAATATATTCGATAAACACATTTATGACTAATGGTGCGTTACACTATAAATATATGACAGTGCGTTCAACGATGAAATGCGCCCTCACCCAGACAACACCCCACCAACCATCCGACCCAATCACCACTGAATATTACATCGTGTATGGTTGCATCACTAGCACTGATACTCACATGAGTGACAAAGTCAATCATTCATCACACGTTGACACGTGTGGAATAATGATGGCATGACCTGTCTATCAACTCAATATTCAAGCATACTCAGTTCAACACCGGAGATGAAATTCAATGATATGCCATAGTGAGGTATACTCGAATAGTTTTAATTTTTTTATTATTTTAGAAAGTTATGCAATATATTTCTAGATGTTGATGACGTCACGTTCAATTAACGTACAACAGATTAGGGTGCATATATGCTATATATGCTATTATCTCATAATGTACTTGGTTGTTATTAATATAAATGTACAGACTACTCTTACCGGTATTATTTATTCATGGAGCGTGACTACTGACGTCATAAGGCACTGGTATCTTCAAGTATCGTTTGATTAATACTGCAGTTATAAGAACAATCTCTTTTGAAAACGAAGACTAGTACTCGAAAACAATATATACGACTTAGTAAATAAATAAATGGCTAGCTGCCTCTTTGGTTTAACGTACATGATATTGCAAGTCTTTTCGTGGAAGTATATATTACACTGTGCTGTCTATCAACTAATGTGACAATATACGAATATATGATTGGCACCACTGTTTGAAACGACATAGTATGTCAGTCAAAACATAACGCGTACATACAAGCCAAACAGAACAATGAAGACAATGTTCTCGACTCAATTACATTTCAATCGGTAAATTATTTGCTATATTCATTGCAATTGTAATTACAAAATATTTCAGTCAAAACGAAAGAGATATAGACTTTGTTGGGAGGTGCAAAGGTTTACAAAACGTGTACCGAGGGTCAGACCTTAGACCTAGAAATCAAACCCAGAACGTATTTCTTGGAACTACCACTCATCACATCGACATCGAACACGAGAGCTATTAGTAACCGTGAAGGTACTTGCTATAGATAACACTCTGCCCGTATCGTCCCACACCGCACACGCATCCACCCCGGCGCGCTCAGTCTGCAACGCGCTACCCGTTAATCAACGCCATCCCTCACGATTTCATGCGATGGTCTAATTCGTCAGCCTCGGAAAAGGTATGCTGTAGAGGTAAACCTATGATAGAGATGACACAAAAATAGTTAATAATAATGTTAAGCCCTGTATATTGCCAAAATTTCATTTGCATATAAGCAAGCACAATAGTTTAACGAAGTAATTTTCGCATATAGCACTTATGTTTTTAATTACAGACAAATCAATTATAATTTTACTTTTAAATAATATCACCATTATGTATCTGATATAAATGGTGTGTTACACAAAAATTATATGAGTGAAAGTTCAACAGTATTGCTTTTCATTAAACGAAATGAACTCACACGCCCATCATTGAATATTTCATCGTGTATGGTTGCATCACTCGCACTGATATTCACATGAGTGACAATGTCAATCATTCATTACCCGTTGATACACATGGAATAATGATGACGTGTCTATCAATTCACTGTTCAAGCAAACGTAGTTTAACACCAGATATTAAATAATTGTATGACATAGTATGGGGTTATTACGAAAACATCGCTTGTAACATAACTTTAGAACGAGTTTTATTAAACGCCGGAAACGCCGTTCACTATCTTGTTTTTTACGTCAAAAATATATTGAATCTTGATACCAAACCACCGATGGTTCGGCAGCATCGTATATATTCCTAAATACCTACCTACTGGGATTAGAAAATAACAGAATCTAAAAAAAAAATATCAACAGACTCCCAACGAAATCGACACAAAAATAACCGACGTACAATCTTCCTACTAAACGTTTGCACAAACACCTGCAACTGAAACATTAATATGGTGATGGTTAAAAAAACGTTTTATTCTGTTATCATCGTTATCAGCGGTTGTACTTCACTAGATGAACACAAAGCGAGAGTCAGTTGATAAATCTTGTACTAACTCAATATGTACTGCATGTCAACAAGGCAGGTAAAGATGCGCCCATAGAAGTTTTGCAGTTCAACGCCTCCATTTAGCAAACAGCAATCCAAAGTAGTCAGAAAGTGGAACATCAGCGGGTGTCACTCGAGCTGTTGTAACGAATGCTAGAGTGTGTTTACTAGACTGAACATTCCATCATCAACATACACTGGTAGTTGAATATGGGATAGTGTTGACGCACCGTGAATCAGCTATAAACGGTTTGCAAACTCTTTATTGAATTAGATATACTGGTTCGCTTTTATAGAGCCTGTCCTAGACCACCACTTGGTGTATTGGAAGCTGCAATTCACATTTGATATATAGTGAATACGACCATTGGCATCGATAAGTTGAAGATATGATGCAACACCATATCCGGCATATCATTGACATAAACTTCAGATGCTGAATCTCACTTCGCTGCTGGGATGAACAGAGGAGACATCTTGGAAGCTTTATATGAAGTATGCAGTACACCAGTCAAGGTAGACATTGGTATCCCACTATCCATACCATCATATGAAGTTTCGATTTTAGGCTCTACAGCGCTACAGCGGCCGTCTTGTTTGCTTGGAATACGTACTATTTTATATGCTGTTCGAAATATTAGTTTTTTTCCAAAATATTTTCAGCGTTTTTTTTGTCTACATGATATTGCTAGGGATGTGAAGGAGACATCATATGCATTTTGACTAAATATAAGATGTAACTATTTTTTCGAGCGACATCCTCATCCTGCTTACTACAATATGTAAAGCAGGAAACCTCATTATGGTATATTTCTCTGTACACACTCATGTCACACCGCTGTACTGGAAATCATTTCATAATTTCTAATGATCAATTTTCATAGCTGCGTCTTTACTTTCATCGCCAATCGTGTTCGCTGCACTATTTAAACCACATATTACATTCACCCATGACATTTGCCAACGTAACTTGAAGACTGAACACAGCGACCAAGAAGACCAATCAGCTAGTATTCGGAAGTAGAATACCATCAATATATGCCATCTCTCCTTCACCTCGCGAGCTGGCAGGTATACATGCAGGGCCATTCAATCGATGATGGTCGCTGGGTCTAACGTAACAGACTAGGGTGTTCAGACCATGACTTTATGGGTTATATATGTGTGCAGAATATATTTTGCATATTGTTTTTGACGTCAGAGAATCACATTTTACATGTCTATCTATTCACTGTGAATGCGCATTCACCACGTGCTATTTCAAGTAAAATGTAATCAGCTATTTTATTCGTCCGTAATTTGTACAAAGATCTTATTTTTTGGAAGCGTATAAAGCATTTCTCACATTAAAAGTCGTAATTCGCACGCCATTTCCATTTTAAATTCTTAAACATAGATTAAATGAAAAATTTAAACACAAAATGTAAGAGGTAAAACTCCTGGTTGTTCTCGAATAACCTCACCTGATATGACATTAATACCCCCAGATAATGACCGCACAATACAAATACTGTGACGTTTAGTTAAATATTCTAAAACTATGAGTGAGGGAGACCCAGGGATTTGCCACAAACAGGTAATCAATTTATCCTATATATATCACCATTGTTCAGTGAAAGTAGATCAACTCTATAACCTACCAAAGCCGGTTCTTGAATATAGTGGCATCTTCCAGCATAGCAGACATGGTAGATGGATAGGGTAAATGTTTCACAACAAACGTGAACCAAAGCTTGATCTGG